CAATGAGTGCCTGTGACCTCCCAGGAGGGCACAGGTCAGAACGTGGCCTACCTTGGACAGGCCATGCAGCCAGCCCCACAGCAGTCCCAAGGACAGGAAGTCGGGGAGGGAAGAAAGCAGGAAGAAGAGGCAGAGAGAAAGGAAACAGCTTCTGGTCATCAGTTGTGTCCCGTTCCTCCGGAAGTGCGTGTGATCTGGGAGTCAGCTGGCTTGAGAGTGCCGTGAGAGGGGTGCTGGGGCCCACGCTAGAGGAAAGGTGGAGGTGAGCCGGACGTGGAGCCGATGGGGATCAGTGCGGGCTGCTCCTGTCCATGGTGAGCCAGGCTCTGACGCTGGCCTGCACCTCCATGTTCTGGACCTAGCTCTGCGGTGCACGGTCACTGTGAGTCAGACCCCTATCAGGGTACCTAACGGCAGATCCACAGCAGGATAGGTTTAGCAAGAGGACAACTCTCCCACCAGAAGAGACACTGAGAAAACATGCACGAGGAGACAGAAATGCTGCAACGCACCAGGGTAACCGCCGATTCAAAGACGTGTTGGCGATGTCCCCTGCCAAACCACCCACCTCTTTTAACAGTGATGCAAGCATTTCATAACCATGTTCTTGTAGTTACTGCCCAACACACTAATAAAGGAACCAGAGATTGGCCCTGACTTCAAACTATTATCACTTTCGCTCTTTCTCTTTTTGGTATTAAGAAGTTTTAAAACTCATTTCCTATCAGTATGATAGAATTTTCTTCTTCAAAATTGGATTGGGCCCAATTACCCAAGACACATTTCTGTGGGACATTAACTTTAAATTTTTCAAATGTAGCAGCAGGTAGTAAGGGAAATAAATGATGGTAACAAAGAATTTATAACTAAAATGGAAAGGATGACTGTTTAAAAATAGATTTTATCAGAATAAGGACTGCCTACACGTGTGCAAATCCACGTGTGCATGCATACACACACACAAAAGGGAGCGGGTTTCAAACACTTTGTGGAAAAAAATGGAAATAATAAAAAATATTGGACTTTTTCTACACTTCTGAAGCCCCTTATGGGTTGATGAATGACACCATCTAGAATTACCTTATTTCTTTTAGATAGCAAAAGCAATATGGGGCTTTTCCCCCAGCAAAATAAATTAAAATATAAAACTCATATTTAAAGATAACGTAAGGCACATTATGTTTGACACAGTTGATGTGAATTGTCCTGTAGAAATACTCCCAAGAACGCAGGGTAGACACGCTTAACTCAACACACTTTAGATTGATGGAAAGCACTGACAGACAGACAATCCGCAGAGAGGAAGGGGTGGCAGTCTGAAGATACAGCCGTGGTGGGATCTGTTGCCCAGGAGACAGATGACCAGTCTGCAAGGCCAATGCCTCACTCAATGCAAACACACGCGCTTCCCCAGCATCAGCAGCGGCTCACACACGCAGGCCTCCCCCATGGAATCATCTGAAATGAGCTGGCCTGTGTCTCTGGAAAGCTCAAAGTCAACAGTCGGAACAGCCAGAGGCCAGCTGACCGCTCCTGTGCGAGTTCAAGTTGAACGAAGGCCAGCCCATGAGGAGAGCCAAAATCTTTCCCGGAGGATATCCCACCGGGATTTCGTGATCGCCGAAGGCACAGATTTGACCCATGGATCCTTAGGGACCAGATGAGCTGTGGGACAACATCAGAAACATCGTGCAAGAAGAGAGTAAGAGGTCACGGGTGGGAAGCTGCGAGAACGGAGAGGAGAGTGTATGCGGACAAAGTCTGCTCATATTGAAGGAGCCTGGGAAGCAGACTCTGGTGGAGGGAGGCCTTCACACTGGGTTGGAGACGAATTCCAGTCACAGGCTCCTAACTACAAGTTATTCCCCACCATGTCCCCCCATCACACTGCCAATTCTAAGATGCTGCTTGCAAGCACATGTGCCTACTGGAGCCTGAAAGTTAACCGCTTGAAGGCTGTCTGCCACCAAGACGATCAGACAGCCCCAGCCTAATCACGGCCTTCTGGTCAGGATCATAGATTGCTCCCTGGAGAAGAGCTCAAAGACACCTAAGGTCAAACCAGCTCGGAGACGACCAAAGGTTAAGCTGCCATCGTCACTCGAGAGCCCGCCCACCTTGCTTCCTAGGAAACTTCCTGTCACATGGATGCCCCCGTACAGCAGTTCTCAACCTGTGGGTCACGACCCCTTTGGGGGGGGGCTGTCGAAGGACCCCTTTATAGGGGTCACCCGATTCATAACAGTAGAAAAAAATACAGTGATGAAGTAGCAACGAAAATAATTTTATGGTTGGGGGGCGGTCACCACAACATGATCAACTGTATGAAAGGGTCGTGGCATTAGGAAGGTTGAGAACCACTAATCTAGTACATCCCCTTGCTGGTGCATTTATGTCCCCCTAGTTTGTCCCCTTCCTGTCACATGTATGCCTCTAACACATCCACTTCCTGTTTTGTAGGTGTATGACATGGCTTGCATGCCCGAGATGGTATTAGCCTGTGAGAGAAGTCATTCGCGCTCTCTCGCTCTTGATTCTGCCCTCAGAAGAGGTGAGCCCTTGCATGCCTTGTCTGATGTCTCTTTAATTCCCCTTTCAATTACAGAGCCACCACTTCGGACCCCTCCGGGAGTGGAGGCTGGTCTCTCACAGTCATTAACAGACGGGACAGGCAGAAAAATAGGTGTTTGAAGAGGCTGAAACCTGCTCTTGAAGGGAGAAGGGAAAACCGGAGCAAAGGAGCTGAGCAGAAGCTACCAAGGGTTTGAGAAGAGAAAGCATTCCAAAGGAATGCAGGGAGACCTGGATCCGTAGAGGCCACTTGGTAGCACAGTGGATGAAGCCAGAGGTTCAAACCCACCAGCTGCTCCTGGAAAGAAAGAGGAGGCTCTGTGCCCCCATAAAGGCTTCAGGCTTGGACACCCCTCTGGGCAGTTCCACTCGGCATGCGGGGTCACTGAGAGTTGATCAACAGAGGGCAGTCGTCTGGTTTGGATGCAGAGGGCTGAAAATTCCGGCGGGATGGCAGGCCTCAGCCAGTCATTAAAGGTGCCGAGCATGTCCTTGTCTTCACGTGGAATGACTTAGAATGTTACAGTATCTTAGGAGATCACAGAGAGGATTAGAGAAATTAATGATCAAAGGCAGTGTACTTAAAGGGCCAGGTCCTCCCCTCCCCGTCGATTCCACGCATCAATGCCCAACCCCTGAGCGAGACCCGGGTTTGTGAGCAGAGGGGGAGAAATCAATTAACCCAGCTTCCTAATGAAAGCCACCTGGGGGACTCCTTCAGAGGGGCCCCTCGATGCCAGGCCCCACCTGTCTCCCCTGGCTCTCTCTCTCCCACCCCTCCCCTCTCTCTTCCTCTCCTCCTCCTCCTCTCTCTGCCATTTGGAACGCTTCCTTTCATGTGTGTCTGGTTTTGTAGATGAAGCCATGGCTTCCTCTTCTCTCTCTCCCTCCTGAAGCCACTACAGTCCTTTGGAGATGACCCTCAGAGGGTCCCCTATGGGTCACTTCCTGGGGTGAGAACAGCCCGGTGCAGATGCAGGAAATGCTTCCCACCAGGGTGACTAGAGGCCCAACAAGAGCATCCTTCTCACACAGCATGGCTTGACCACGAGGCCGGAACACAGCCAGCAGACTGGCCAGCTCTGCCCCCGGGGGACAGCCTCTGGGATTCTGGGAGTCAGGTTGGCCCAGCAGACATGGGCCGAGGGTGGGTGAAGCACAGGAAAAGGTTCTTTGAAGGTCAGGTGTGCAGGGCTTGTCACTGAGCCACAGAGCCACACAGTGGAGGCCCTGGTGTATGGTAGGTTCTTTATGGGAGAGCCCGTTTCTGCTGGGGTGTCCTGAGCACACCAGCCACCAACAGGGTCCTCCTTGCACATCTGCAGGGCCGCCGGAGCCCTGGCTGGTGGCATCAGATAGCCTGGCGGTGGGAAGGCCAAGTCCCCCCCAGCCGCCCCCCGCCGCCGAGGAAGGCCTGGTGGGGAAGCAGCCCTGCACACCTCAGGGCCCCAGTGCCAGTGGGAGCAGAGCAGCCAGCTGTGGGAAGAGAAGTGGTCGCATCTGCGAAGTTTCAAAGCGGTCTCCCAGGGCCCACATCTGTTCCCAGTCTTCAATGAATCACCAGTCCCTCTGAAATGTTGATGTATGTAAATCGTCTCTAACATCCATCGCTGTGCATGCTCCATGAAACCCCGGGAAGCACGAAGCACGTGGATGAAAGAGTGAGAAGGAGCCCAAAGTGGGCCGGCACGTCTTGAGCAAAACACAAATTAAGAGAGACTGTTGATATAATTAAACATTGAAGCTGCTGCTCTGGGAAGAAAAACGCCTGCCGGGAGGCAAGCCTGGTGACAATTAAACAGGGAACCCCACGCATTTCTACGCTCTGCAGCCAAGCCTGGGGCCTTGCTAACTGCCCTACAACCAACGAGCACCAGCGTTTGCTGACAATCCATAGGAGAGGGGGTCCTTGGTGGCACGGGCAACTACACACCAGAGGGAAGGCGGGCAGTGTGAGCCACCCCCAGGAGCCTCAGAGGGAAGGTCGGAAAGACCCCAGGACTGAGGGGCCACACTGCAGTGCAGGTCCACGCTGCCGCGTGGGGCGCCGTGAGCAGTTCAGGGGCGGCAGCGGCCACACACCAGTCCACCAATCCCAGATGCTGGTGGCACCGCGGTTACTTGTTGGGCTGCTAACCTCAAGGTCATCAGAAGGGATGTCTGCCTTCTGGACACCATCTCAGGGGGAAGGGCCTTCCCTGTCTCTCAGCCCAGGTATCCCTGGGATCGTGGATGTCACTGTCCCCACAGTTCTACCGTGTCCTCCAGGGTCACTGTGAGCCGGCATTGATTCAATGGCAGTGTGTTTGAGAACAAAGATACACCCACACCTGCATGCACTTACATGCACACGCACGCACACGTTCCCTTGCTCCCCCAGTAACTGCGGAAGGTGGACATCCCATGTCCAGGGAGGCGACGGCACTCACCACGTCACAGCCAGAGCAGTCCGGCCCATTCTCGCAGGTCCTGCGGCGTGCCTGGATGCCACCCCCACACTGGGCCGTGCACCGCTCCCAGGGGCCCCAGCCTGTCCAGAACACGTGGGGCGGACACAGCAAGTGCTCGTTGCAGTACCTGTGGGGAGGGGGGGGAAGCAGGGGTGGCTGAGAGCAGGGCCAGCCCAGCCTGCCCGCTCCATCCCTTCACTGGTGCCAGCAGGCAGGCATGCTTCAGGGGAGAGGGCAGTCCAGGAGGGCAGGCAGACGTGGATCGACCATGCGCGGGCACAGACAGAGGGATGCAGACGCTGGACTCACACGGCGGGGCGGAGCTTCCTGGGTGGCCAGTGAGGAGACACAAATAAGACAGAGCCCTCAGTGGGCACCGGGCGAGGTGAGGGACCAGGGCAACGCATGCACACAGGGCAGACGGAGGGGCTGGAGACAGAGCCAGCAGGGCCCCATCTGGGCTTTCGGAGTCCTCTCGGGGTAAACCACCCTGCATTCTGTTTGGGCAAGCCCGAGGCCAGCCAGAGCCTGTGGTCAGTCCAGTACGTGCCCCTCACTATGAAGGGCCAACGTCAGCGCCTCTCAGCAAACTCGGTTAAAGACCAAGGACTGGTTTTTCATCCTCAACACCCTGCCAGGCTTCCTGATGATTAAGTCCAGGCCTGCACCCCCTGTGGACCCCAGTTCTCCACCAGCATCCAGAGCGAAGACTAAAACTGCCCCCATGGGGAGCAAGCAGCCGGCTGCTGATGCTCACAGCCCCTTGGGGTGAGGGTCAGGCTGAGCAGAGTCCAGTGAGGGGCACCACTCAGGGGGATGAGGACACCACCGAGGACCTGCTGGTTCTCACGAGGGGCCCTGGGGGCGTGGGGATTATGTGCCAGGCTGCTAACTGCAAGGCCAGCAGTTTGAAGCCACCAGTCTCAGGAACCCCAAAGGAAGTCCTACCCCGTGCTGTATCCAGGGCCCTGTGGGCTGTGAGTGGAGATGCATCAGCAGCAAAGGAGGAGGGGTCCCTCCAGGAAGCACAGACTCGAGTCCCAGAGACGGTGGGGACGAAAGGCTGGGCCTGTGTCTCCAGAGGCCCCCCTGCAAGGCTGTCCCTTCCTTGGTGTGGCCCGGTAGCCGAGCTGTCTTGTGATGGAGCGTGACCTCCGGCCTCTGTGCCTGCACTTGCCGCCCCACTGTGGAGGGAGCCCTGTTCTAGGATGCAAGTGGGAAGTATCCTGAGTCTCCACCGGAGTAGAGGGAATGACTCAGTCACACCTCGGTTTCCCTGGGGATATATGTGCTGAGACAAAAGCCACACCTCCATCAGTCATTCTTCCGTGTTACACGAGCCGTCTTGGATGGATGGATGGATGGACGAAATCCTGGAGCCATCAGAAGAAGAGCCCCCCCTGGAGCATGTTTGAGATCTCTGTCTGAAGTGGGGAAGGCTGAGACCAGCTGCTGCTGCCCAGAAACCATAGGACAGAGTAGAGGAGTCAGGCTGAGCAGAGGCCAAGGCAAGGAGACATGGAGATAGAATGGAGGGACTGAGGCGACTGGGAATATCAGAAAGAGGGGCAGGTGGGCTTAGAAACAGGAGCCAAGGTAACTATGCACGTGGCTGAGAGGCTGAGGTCCAGAGAGACACTTGCACGTGGCTGAGAAGAGGTGCCGCTGTGGATCAATGGCTGTATCCTTACTGTTGACTGATCCTCACTGGGGCAAGCTGTCAGCTCCCCATAATCATGAGTATTAGCTGTGAGTTCTGTGTGGGGAATGCAATGAATTCTGGAACCCAGCAGAAGAGGGTGTGGGGCCAGTTACCGGTGGGTCAGACGAGGAGTTGGGGGAGACATGTCTGGCCCTGGCCTCGTGGCAGAAGGTGGTTGGAAGGGGTCTGACATGGCCCCTCAGTGCCATTACTCCATGCTTTTCATGGAGAAGATGAGGCAGATGAGATGGACATGCCAACAACAGGGGTCCCCAAGAATGGGAATGGAGGCAGCCAGGTCCTCCCACGTCCACGAGAGCCTTCCCCATCACTGGTGGGAAAGATGCCCTAGTGGTACAGCGGTCAGACAACCAGCTGTGGTCCACCCTACAGAGACATAGGGGAAAGCCGCAGCCACCCAGTTCTGGTCCGGGCCACAGGAGCGCCATGAGCCAGATTCACGACAAGGGGCAGCAACACTCGGTGAGAAATCACACGTCAGTCTGTGAGGGCCACCCCTGTGGGTTTTCTCCACAGGTGTACAGTAGGTCGGGGGCACGGGTGGGTGTGCCGAGCAGGGGTAAGGCGGGGTCCTGGGGCATGGAGATGCCATGTGGCAGCAGTGGGAATGCGTTAGACAGACAGACCAGCCAAAGTCCGCTGTGAAGAACAGCAATGGCAGGCTGATGTCATGGTGGGAGAAGTCTCCTAAGAGTCGAGGACCAACCAGGCCAACCGCTTCTCTAAGAGGAGGTGAGGACCACCACTGCTGGCCCCTCTGATGGGGTCACAGTGGAAGGTTATGGACAGAGGTGGGGAACCCCTGGGGGTAATGCAGACAGAGGGCTGGTCTGTTATACATGGGCTGCTATTAGTCATAGCTGGCTAGATGGTACCTAACTTCATCCTGCATTATCCGTTTTTCCCCAAACCTACGGTATGTGGAAAGAGGTCTTCTTCGTATGCCCTCATGGAACGGATCCCCAGCCCTGTCTTGAAGCTCTACGTGGTTTGACCCTTGTTGGGTTTGTACTAGTTTCTCACTGCAGCCTGGTTAGTCCAGGGGCACCTGTCTCAGCTCAGGACACAGAAGAGCAGGAAACCCACCGTGTTTGAAATCTTCACCCCAAGAGAAGGCTGGGTGATCACAGACTGGCCACGGGATCAAATGAACATGCTCAGGATGTAATCAATTCAGCCGAAGCTGTTCCTGAGGTGCTTGACTTTGGAACTGTGGCAGAGGTGGGATATGATCAAAGTCCAGGACCACCCCCCACTTCCTGGGCAGAAATCCAGGTCTCTGCAAAGCCTCGCTGTCCTCCAGTTAGTCCCCACCCACACACGGCGACCCTACAGGACAGGCTAGCAGTGCCCCTGTGGGTTTCTGAGATGGTCAGTCTCTACAGGAGTAGAAAGCCACGTCCATCTTCCGAGGAGTGGCTGGTGGTTTGGAACTGTGAGAACCACAAACGTCTCATGAGGAAGCTCAGCGATGGATCCACCCGCTCCGTGGGGAGGTGGGAACAAGTCACGGAGTTATGGTTAGGGAGAATCCCAGTCATGAATGCCTTGCCCCCCACTGGGACACAGCTGTGTTCCGTAACACACAGGTTCCCGTGAGGCAGCATCAGTCCAGGGACAATGAGGGGTTTGCCTGGAATCCCAGGGAGATCCTGGAAGTTGTCCCCAAAAGTTACTGCAGCAAAAAGGCTGCCGGCTTGGACTGGAAGGGACATGGAAAAGAAAGTGACCGGAGGCAGAGGGACGCTCCTTCAGGTGGCAGGGAGAGGCCAATAAAGCTGCTCCGGCCCATAGCAACCCTATCTGTCCCCAACAGAAGGGAACACTGCCCGGTCCTGCACCATCCTCACAGCTGTTCCTGCGCCTGAGCCCATCGGTGCAGCCACCGTGTCCGTCCATCTCATCGAAGGCCTTCCTCGTTTTGGCTGCCCCGCCACTTTACCAAGCTCGATGTCCTTCTCCAGGGACTGGTCTCTCCTGACCACATGTCCAAAGCACATGAGACGGTCTCCCCGTCCTTGCCTCTAGGAAGCATTCTGGACGCCAGTCACACAGCTGGTCAGAGCCCGGTTTCTCTGTTGAGCATGATGTCCTTCTCCACAGGCTGGGCCCTATGGACAGCAAGTCTGATGTGGGAGACTACTGTGCTCCTGTGGCCACTCTGCAGATCAGAGCCTGCTCTCCTCCACATCGCCGCTGCTGCTTCTAGCCAAGAGCCGGCTGGTCCTCCACACAGTGCCAGGCCTGCTGCCCAGAGCCTAACCCTGCCCCAGAGAAGTGTGTTTCTCCGCAGACAAGCTAACGTGTGCTCAGTGGGTGCATAACACCCCCGGGTCCTCAGAGCCCGTGACCTGCTTTCTCCCTATGCTCATCCAACCATCCCCAGCTGGAATTCCTGGGGCTACCCGTCCCCCCCCCCCCCCCGCCCCCTCCCCCGCATCTTCATCCCCCCAAGCTCGCTGTCACAAGGTCACCGATCGCTGCCATCCATGTAGCCGTTGCCATCACCAACAGCTCAGAATGGGAGAGATGGGGCTTTCAACTCCTGTAAAGAGTTACTGCCTCAGGCACTCACAGGGGCAGTCCTATCCTGTCCTATAGGGTCACTACGAGTCGGCATCAACTCCACACAGTGTTTGAGATGGATGGAAATGGGTGGGTGTGGCCGGGAGAAGCACACAGCATGCGCGCTGCTTGTGTGACAACCAGTCGGCTCCTCCTGTGTGGTGCACCCGTGTTCTGCTTCTCCTGACCCTGCTGAAGGCCTGCTGTTGAGGGCAGGGGCCATCTGGCATGCCCCAACTCACTGTGACTCCAGGTACAGCAGAGCACAGCACCAGCCAGTCTTGCGCCAGCCTCACCACCACTCTCATGTCTGAGCCCACGGCTGCTACCATTGTGTCTGTCCATCTCTGTCATATCTGAGCCCACGGCTGCTGCCATTGTGTCTGTCCATCTGTCATGTCTGAGCCCACGACTGCTACCATTGTGTCTGTCCATCTCTGTCATGTTTGAGCCCACAGCTGCTGCCACTGTGTCTGTCCATCTCTGTCATATCTGAGCCCACGGCTGCTACCATTGTGTCTGTCCATCTCTGTCATGTTTGAGCCCACAGCTGCTGCCACTGTGTCTGTCCATCTCTGTCATATCTGAGCCCAAGGCTGCTGCCATTGTGTCTGTCCATCTGTCATGTCTGAGCCCACGGCTGCTGCCATTGTGTTTGTCCATCTCTGTCATGTTGGAGCCTACAGCTCTGTCCGCCCATCTCCTTGGGGACCTTCCTCTTCTTTACCACCGCTCCACTCTGCCATGCATGATGTCCTTCCCCACGGCTTGGTCTCTCCTGACCACAGGCCCAAAGCACAAGAGAGGAAGGCTCCCATCCTCGGCTCCAGGGAGCCTCTGTCTGTGCTTCTTCCAGGACGGATCTGCTTGTTCTGTCAACTCACGGGTCATCAAGGTTCTTGCCGATGCCAACATTAAATGCTCGGATCCTTCTTCGGCCTCCCTATCCAATGTCCAGCTTCACGTGGATGTGAGGCGAGAGAACATAGCACGATGCGGGAGCCAGGCTCATCTCAGTCCTCAACGGAACCTCTCTCGTGGTGGCCGCTTCCATGAGCACTGACTGTGGATCCAAGTAAGACGGAGTCCTGGACAACGTTGTTCTCTGGATCACAGTTGATCACAGTGCTGCCTGATGATCCGCAGGAAGCCGGCACCCTGGAGTGCGCCCTTCTCAGGGACACGAGTCCACTCCGGCCCTGGCTGCTGGCCTCTCCCACCGTCACGGGGTATCTGCTCAGGCCTGCTGTGCTAGGGATTTCTGGATCAGGGAAACAATGTTTCCACCTGTCCTGAAGCAGATGTGAAGGCGTGGGTTAAAGGAGGAGATGAGATTGTGGTTTTGATGATCCGAGTCTGCTGCGTCTCGCCCCTCCGCCCCTCAGGAACTTTCTCTCGGCCGGGAAGTACTGCCTCTCCCTGACTTGCACGCGGGCTGGCAGGGGAACACCTGAGGCAACACATCACTGTAGAGGATGTTTTCTAAACAATCCTGCACCCCCAGCCCCAGTTGTTGGGGACACCCCCCCACCCGGCGGGGACTGGGTGGGATTCCTGTAACCTTGACTTCGGTTCTCCCACTCTGGACGGGTTTGCCTTGACCTGAGTCAGCAGGAGACAAAGGCCTTTGCAAGGATGCTTGCAGCCAGAATCTACACGACCCCACATGCAGTAGCAGCAATGCAGCCAAAACAAGCTGTGTGTGTGGGGCCAGGAGAGCCGGTCACAGGGCCCCCCTGCTCCAGAGGGGAAGCCAGAGGACAGCAGACACACCACCAAGACGTGCCGCTCCCTCTCCACTCCTGGAGGTGTCCACCGCTACCCTTCCCCAAGAATTGTGTTTGTCCACTCAGGGCACGGGCCACACAGCATTCCTGACACTCTGCTGACACTGTGTCCCTTACACTCTTTGGGGGACAAGCAGGTATCTGAGGGGCAGGATCAGGCTGCAGGGGCAGGGGCAAGGTTCCCCAGGGAAATTCTCCCAGCCCATGCTGCCCTCCCCAAACGAGCAGTGGCATTCTGGGAAGGTTTGCTCAGAGCCCCCTGTAACAGCTGCCAGTAAAAATAGGCTCTGGGCGGCCCCGCGCCCCCCAGGCCTCAGGGAGGAGGTAGCTGGGGCCCGGACAAAGCCAACATGTGGAGGAGGAGGACGTAAGCAGGCGGGCCAGGGGCCGCTAGGCATGAGGCTCTGGTCAGAATCCCAGGACAGCAGACAAAGACAGTGGGTGGGCACATGCCCCCAGGAGCCTAGCTAGACCACCGAGGCTGGGCCGCTGGCACCCACCTCTCCTCACGGTTCTGGCCCACGCACACCCGGCCACCATGCCGCGGTGTGGGGTTGCTGCAGGCTCGCTGGCGCACCTGGAAGCCGATCCCACAGGTGGTGCTGCAGGGGGACCATGGCGACCAGGGGGTCCAGCCGCCATTCCTGGGGAGCAAGCAGCGCGTGGTCAGCGTGGAAGCACCCTCTGCGTCCCCCAGGGCCTCCGGGGTCCCACAAGGCCGCCTCCACCACCGAGCCTGCACAGTGGGCGCTGTGACCGGGGCTGGTTTTAGGGAGAGGCTGGGGCTTTTCAAAGACCACAGGCTGGCTGAGCTGGGCAGGTAGAAACAAGAGGAGCAAGGTCAGCAGTTCCAACCAGATGGCTGCCCAGCAGGACTAAAGACTGGCAGTCCGTCCCAGAAACCCAGAGCTTCTGCTGGGCCCTATTCAAGAACCAAACGCCTGCCATGGAGTTATGCCAACTCCCGGAGACCCTATAGGGCCAGGCAGAGCTGCCCCTGGGGGTTTCTAAGACTGTCGCTCATGATGGGAGTAGAAAGTCCCATCTTTCTCCCTCGGAGCGGCTGGTGGTTTCAAACTGCCCACCGTGTGGCCCCACTGGCAACCTCTGGGACACCAGGCTCCTCATCCAGGGCCTCCTATCTGGAGTTGCTCCACGACAGTGAGTTAAGAAATAATGGAAGAATAAACAATACCCTTGGGCCCCCTGGGTGTTCTGGGGCTCCCCTGGAGTCCCTGAGGTGTTCTTCAGGGGTCCCCTGGGCCCCCTGGGTGTTCTGGGATTCCCCTGGGGTCACCTGGAACAGTTGGCGATTTCCACACTGGGGCCGGCGCAGGACCAGCCGCCACACTGGGGGGCCGGGCTGTCGCAGGAGCGGGTTCGACAGAGGCAGGAGCCCACAGCCGC